TCTCTTCTATCTACATCCATTTTTTATTAAGAATAATTTACTAATTCAAGTGGAGTCAGGAGGGAGAGAAAAAGGAGCAAAGCAAAACCCTGCATGTGTGAATATCCACAAGTATTAGATAGCTAAACAAACCCTAAGTCCCTCAGTGTTGCAGTAACGTCAAAACCTTTCAGTATTGTACCAGTGTGTCAAAATATGTCAACAAACCATCATACTGAAAGAAGAAGAATGACCTTTCAGTTCTTTATGTTTGGGCTGCCAATGAAGCTTTGGATACTGGGTATGCATGAACAGTTTTCTTAGCCACTTGACAAATGCAACTCCCAAGGTTTCCTCCAAGTTTAGTTGTTACGCTGGCTTTCAACTCACCAGTACAACTTTTTAAACCATCTGCAATTGAAGAATACTGAACTTGTTAACAGAACAGAGTCATAAACCCACAGCATAATTTCCTCTTCCCCTACCACCTACAATCAGACAACAATTATTACTTCAGTCTTCACAGTAACATGTCAAACCATTTTAAAGAGCTGAATGGCAAAAAATGTCTATCATTCTGATATTATAATTCCGCCCTTGCTCACATATAACTCATAGTCAACTGCAAATGAATTTGAATCCTCTTCTGAAAAAACCCATTCAAAAGTATGTATCATATGTAATTGTAACTGAAATACAATGTTTTGCACCATTTCTATTTGCACTTATCTGAAATAAATATCCTTTTTAATCTACAGGACTCTATGATAATTTTACTATGACTATTAGTTTTAGACTTCAGTCACAAGATCAGACATAATGTATTAATTACAAGACACTAAATCGTGAATTTAGGCTTCCAAAAAGTATGGTTACTATTTTAAAATTATTTATGGGAAATTTGCTTTTATTTATTTTTTCAAAAAAGCAGAAGCACAGGACTAACAACATTTAGAATGCAAGCAAATGAGGTAAGGATTTTAGTGCAGAGATGACTTACCATTTTTATTCAAAGAGAAGAAGAAATGCTTCTCTTTCACTATGTGAAATTGCCTTTATTATCAATGTCAAATATGACATATTCCTACGGTCTTCCTCACATATAGTAAAGTTTCTTTAGCTAATAATGACATCAAGCTTTCTCCCGGGACTCTCTAGAAATTACATTCCAGAATGTACATTTGCCTTAGCCATGCTTGCAGAAGATAGAAAATGTAAATTGCTGTATTGGAGTTTATATCTTCTTACAGCAAGTCACTGACACTGCACCCACTAATTACTATTTGAACTGAGTGTTGCTGATCTCTATACCCTTCTTAGAAAGCAGCAGCCAAGCCTATCAGCTCCCACTAACAGACTTATACAGACAGAAAGTTAGAAAAGAATGAAAAAATTAGACACTATGGCAAAAAAAAAAAGGGAACAACAATGTTCATCTAAACTCTAAAATAATTTACAACATGTTCACAGACCCTGTTTTAAAGTACAATGGGTGTAACTTCCTCTTCATGCTCTCCAAATTACCTTTTGTCACACTGGCTATTCAACAGTTTTTATTCTCGTGGTTACAAGAAATATACCAATGTAGGCCAGTGAACAATGAAAAGTATGGTATCTACTACGTGTGCACAAAGCAATTATATTTTGCACATGTAGTTGTATTGTTCACCCAGTGGCACTGAAAGCTATAGCCTGCTGAGTAATGCCACCAAACAAACATAAGGAGGGAAGGGATTCTGTAAGTACATGAAACATTTCAAGTTTTTCCAGTATACACAAGAGTTTTTTTTTCTAAAGTATCACTCTGCAAAATCAGTCTGGGAATATGCAAGACCAAATTTGCCTTTTTCCTGTTTCTTTATTATTAAAAAAATCTCAGGTATCTAAAGAGCATCTTAAACTACAACTATGCAAATCCACTGACAAGGTACACTTTGTACATTTTTAATGTGAAACTTAATTTGAAGATGAGGTTGCAGTGCACCACTGCAACTGAAAATTGCTTAACAATACCATTGATGTATGAGCCATAAAAAACCTTGCTAAGCTGTCCCTGCAGAACTCAGAGTAATAAAAAGGTGTTCTTTTGCACTGAGGTGAACAGACATGGTTGACTGCATCTAGGGAGCTGTTCTGTTAAATGAGAAAGTGCCATTTCTTTCCTGTCAGTACAGGCCAATTTAAGACACTCACAGATTTAGTTAGCACAGAGTACAGGATTTAATGAAATACACACATAACAGCAAACAAATCCCAGCTACGTTCAAAGCTTTCAGTCACATTCTGAGTAGAATTCATCTTACATCTGTGACATGCGGGAAAAGATCCAGAAACTTTTCCAGTCTGACTCCTAACTTTTGGAGAAGCAATTAAAAAGCTGAATGGAAAAAGTCTAAACCTCTTATTTTCATTCCTTTCAAAGTATCTAACTTGTATTTCTATCCACATCTAACAGGCAATATTACAGATTTTCTCTCCAATTTCACTTCCGCTTTAAGTTCAACCAACAGATCAGGTTTACAACACCCTAAACTATCAGTTGAGTGTCATGACACCTCTATTGTGAACTGATGCTGCTCCACCAAATGATTTCTCTGTCAAGAGGAAGGGAGACACAAAGGTGTGGTGAATTGACTGGGAAGTTGGTTCCACTTGAGAGATAGGTTGATTAAATAATTCAAAATTGATTCACATTTTGGGCAGCTATACCTGCGGTCTTTTACATAAATAGTTTCAGAGAGCAACAAAAGTTAACTGTCTAACCTATTTGCAACATAATCTGTCAATGTGTGTTCTTTAACCCAACTGTCACTATATTAGAAGCTACAGTAACTCAGAGCTCATTTCAGAAGATGTGACACTGTCAGTTTGGCCAAGTGGTACCAAAATTAAGACTAACAGGATTTGTTCTTTAAAGAAAGGCCACAGAAATCTGCCTAATTTCCATGGTTAACCTATCATTAAACTTAAGATTTAGTGCGTAACAAATCTCACTAAAGAGAGCTCTAGTTTCCCTTATATGAATGCAAAGTCACTATATGTAAGAAGCAACAATTTTTGTACCTGTTTTCAGCATAAACAACTATAACAGATTTGGCAAAATCTCAAAACAACTTCCAAAATGTGTTATTGATTCACATGTAATTTCAGTCTAGTTTTTGCAACATTAAAGATACTTGACTAACTGCTCAGTGAGAGATGAAGTTGCATTATTAATTAGTACATGTTGAAATTAAATTGAAGTTAGCTACGTCTTGGTTTCTTGATAAAAGCATTAAGAGAAGCTTCCTTTGGAAATGTCAGATTCAAATGATACACACTATTCTCAAATGTTTTAAACATTTTTATAGCTCAAATCAAAATGTGGATAGACACTTTGTTGAACACAAAAAAAAAGAAAGAAACTTCAACTTTGCAATGGCAATTTTATTGCAAACAACAAATGGCTCAGTGCCTTCATCCTACTTGTCTACTCAACTTTCACCCCATCTCAACTTAGTAAGTATCTTTATGCTCATGTTATCTATTTAAAATTCACTTCTTGGAGCTTCTGTCCTCTGATACCATCATGGATTCCTTCAAACACATCCTTTATACTCAGAAAGTATTCCAGCCAGTACATCTCATGGCCTCCTCCCAGCCTGAGCTGCTGCATTTCATCTACTGATGTGCAGTTCAGCACCAACTGCATCAGCATCTTTCCTGCCCTTCTCACCATTTGCCTACATATTGTATACACTCAAATTTCTAAGTTTTATATTCTGTTTACATGTTTTACAATTTATTTTCTACAACTTTCCCGTAGTATCTTCATACAACAACTGACAGCCTTCCTGAAGTTCCCATTGTCTTGATTCAAGTTTTCCAAGTCACTGCTTTCTGGGACTGTCAAATAAGAGCACGTCCTTATGTCAATCAAAAATGTTGCTGCAGAGCATAGTTCCAAACTTTGATTATATTATTCTCAAGATGTGGTTCCCTTTTCTCTGATTCCTTCTATGGAATCTGCTTTTAAAGTATTTCTGAAGGTAATGAGAGCTATTTTCACCTTGACATTTCTCACATTCACCAGACCAGCCTCTGATGTTGGGGCACACTCTCTCTTTGTTGCATGTTCACATGTTTGTGCTGTGTTCTCCACTATCCCTCAGGTGATCTCTTGTTAACACTGAGCAACTTCTAAATTTATGGTTTAAAAATACTTTATTAAAACTTTCATTTACCTTACTTACTACCTTGCTTAGGGTTCTACCACATACAAAAATGTCATTGAAGATAGAGCACTGTGCTTAAGATTTTTTTTGGAAAAAATTCCTTCAGTATCTAGGAGTATCTAGGACCATGGAAAGATACGTAAATATACACAATGCTGACTTTTAGAAGAAGTGGAAGTATTTTAACCATCTTTAAAAGAAAAAATCTTTATACCATCAACACATTAAAAAATTCCGTCTAGCATAACTTATTTGCCTCCTTATGTTCCTGCAAATATTTGCAACATTTTTAACCTGAAGATAATTGTTATTACTGTTTCAAATGTAGATAATATATGAAAGAAATACTTTATTAAAAAAAAACCCAGTGAAACAGTATTGTCCTAGATACAATGACAATAAGCAATAAAGTTCTTCACACACAAAGCCCACTTGGTTAGATAACAAAGATTTTTAAACAAATTTGTCACCTTGCACGTATTCAAAAATGTTACAGCAAAATCTTCTTTCAAAGTCAGGTACTAAAAAATTGACATATAACTTCTGTACCAAAGTAACTTACTATGTCATGTAGCATCACTGTAAAATCACCAGATGTATCTGCTGCATGTTAACAATTAGGGTATGAATTTTTCACAAATATTTCATAGTTCCAATTTGACATGCTAAGTAATGACATTCAAAATGCCAGATTAGTAGCATGTATTTTGTCCACGTCTTAATACAAGAGTCACTAGTATTTTATCCAGTAACTTCTTTTTAAAATGCAATCCTATTTATCTATAAGGAAAAATAATAGAAATATACCTGTTCCAGTAGCTCCAAAACTGGTCCTGCAAATAGGCTTGGTGGCTACTTTCATCACCAAATGAGGCTTTGCTTTCTATCCAGTGAATTATGTGTCCTTCCACAGCTAGGGTGATAGCAAAAAAGAAACTGAAATCTGAAAATCAAACTCAACAGCCTGTAAGAGTGGGTTTGGGAACATCCTACTTACTCCACAATCTACCATATAATTCATGCTTGCAGCAATTACGTACTTGTAAAAATTATCTTTCAAATATGCACAAAAAAGGGCATTTAAAAACATATCAGAACAATATTTTAACAGATATTTATACCAATTTCAGTTTAATTACACTCTGTTCTAGGTATTTGCATTTATTCTAACACAAAAAGAAAAAGGGATCAGCCTAAGAAGTATGTTAATGATAAATCTTATCAATGTATAAAACTTTCTGAAGGGCAGGTGGTAAAAAGAGGGAAACAGGCTCTTTTCAGTGTTGCCAAGTGACAGGACCAAAAGCAACAGGCACTGAAAACAGAAGGTTCCATTTGAACATTAGCAACCACTTTTTCACAGTGAGGACGACTGAGAATGGGCAAATGCTGCCCCAGAGAGGTTGTGGATTCTCCCTCCTTCATATTCAACAGCTGTCTGGACATTGTGTTCTGCAAACAGCTCCAGGTGAACCTGCTTGAGCTACTGGTCACCAGCCTCAGCCATTCTATAATTCTGAAAATTCACAATTTTCCCTGCTAACTTCAGACCTGGTAAAAACCAACAGTTCCCTTATCCCCTCAAGCCCTTGAAGCTTATCAATGAATGAAGAATTCTGAGATTCTTCACAGTAAGTGTGGAAGTGAAGGGGTAGAAATTAACTGAAAACTCTCCACATATGGCTTGACATGAGTGAACTGCACTAGGATGCCAAATTTCCCTGTTTCAAATATGGAGTCCTTTAGTTACAAAAATATTTTCTGTTTTGTTATTAACATTACTACCATTTTTCTTTTTTGGAAACGTGATTAGGTATATAAACATCACTGAGCTAAGGAAAGTTTTTAAAAACTTTTCAGAAGACTCTCATATATGCAGTTGTTTGCTGGATAACACGTGATTGTGCTGAAAGATGGTATTTCAAGCAGTTCTGCATAATGATGCATTTTATAGTACACGTTCCATTCCTTATACCAGTGTACAATCAGTTATCTCAGTAAGAATTCCAGCTGTTATCAATATGAATTAAAAAACCTAGTCATGTATATGACTTTCACACAGTACTTTCAGCCTTCCTACTTTCTCTGACAGACAGAAAAGTAGACATCTGCATAAATGGGTGCTGCATTCTACAGAAGCAAAGCAGAAGTCTTTTGGCACAAAAGCCAATTTACAAAAGATGATTAATAATCCTTTACTTTCGGAAAGCTTGGATGTTTCTTCTTCTGTGGCCCAGTGGCTAGGTCACTTGGTTACCTTCTCACGTGACCTCAAGAACAGAAAAGGTAGATAAACTTTATGACCTTTATACCTACTTTTATTCTTTATTCTTTCTTGCTATTCAGGCTTTCAAAAAACTGAAAAACTTTAAAAAAAGTGAAGAACTGCAGAGTTGTATGTGAATGCAAAGTGATAGCAAAAGAATAATTGCACCACGACAAACCTTTATACAATGACCCATAGGTGTAACTGTAATACTCTTTAAGACTGCTTTGAACTGATTTGGTCTAAGAGTAAAAGACAATTACAGGCATTTCAGAGTTTAGTTCAGAAAGAGAGTGGAGGGAGCAGGGATTTGGGGGTTCTTATTCGTTGGTTTGGTTTTTTTTCTTCCCCTGTTTTGATAATGAGACAAAAACACGCAGAGACTAAAGAGGAAACACCGGCTAACACTACTTAGGATCAAATCTCTCTGAACCACACTAGAAGTTCTTAAAATTATTGGGTAACTGCTGAAGAGACTAATCTGTAGTATCCTAGATTATGCTTCACTTAAGTAGCCATAATATTTTACCATGAACTCTTCTACACAAAACAAAATTATAAAAATTCTTTTAAAAGACTTACCTACTGGTACTTCTAAAATAAAGTCTGGTGTTTTGTCATAACCTTTTGCACGAAGCTGATCTTCAGCTGTACATACAGAATAAGAACTACTGTTTATAAAACTATTCCATTAAGTAGACAGCAGCATAATTAATTTTATTTTAAATAAGAGTGCAAGAATTACTAATGCAGTCATACATATCTTTCTTATGCATGCAATGCTGTGTCAAATTAAATGAACCTTTGTAGAAAACCTGAAGCATGGATATAAAAATGCTTCTTTGTCATCCCTGCATTTTTATGTCTTCATTATAAACATCATTAATTCAAGCTGTCATACAGTATTTTATAACCTCCAAATATTCAAAGTAAAGAGGTATATTCGCTGATTGAAAGAAGAGCCTCTCCACCTTCGGATGCGTAAAGATTAATCCTACCAACACCACAAATGTAGATATACTGTAGCTGTCTTCTTGGGTTTATTTTTAATGTTAGCATAAAGTTGTTTAAAAAAAGGCAAGAAAATCCTTCTCTCCCAGGAATTTATTAAAGTAGAGAGGAGTCATAATTTTAGTTTCTCTTGCATTCTGGATTCTATAGAATTTATCCAATTTTAGAACATACAAAGATTTAGAAATTCTGCTAACATTAATTATACAACTCTATTACTTACAGATATTAGAGCTGAATATTTCAAGAAATAATAATGAGCAAAATAAAACCACAAAAGACAAAGCATGCACCCTTAAAAAAAAAAAAAAAAGGTAAAAAAAGCCCAAGCAAGCCCTTAATATTTTTAAACTATTGTCCTTCATTTCTGATACCATTACACTGGTATTTCTGAAACACCATTTCTCCATTAGAATTTGGAGTGACCTGGTCATTCAATTCCAGGCATGGCTTTCTGTCTTCACCCAGGCTTAACTAATGGCACTACCTAGTAACAAGTAAGGCTGTGTAGCCCCTTAACACCTACTGGGCTGTTGACATTGTCATGCATCCCATTCGCCTTTCTACATCACCTTTGATTAAAATTAATGGCCCATTCTCACTGTTGGGTAGCTTATTTCCAATCCATTTATCAGGTTAGGACAGTACTTTCATGGCCAATGTTCAGAACTCAGTTTTTGAATACTTTGTGCATATCCTGAAAGGTCAGCAGTTTGAGTCCAAGTAACATTTTAATGACAAGAAAAACATACAGTCTTAGAAATCAAAATATTGCAAAAGTTGCAAAAGCAAACGCTCCCACTCTTTTTATTGAAAAATATAAATCTGAAGTGTTATTTTATTTAGTGAACTCATTCTGAAAGTGGGACAGGAGTAAATTTGGAAAGCTGTACACTTATTTCAGTGTAAACTTCAATAGATGTTTATTCTTTTTGAGAGTTGTACTATTTTTTTTTTAATTTTGAGAGCATTTCTTCACTATAAACAGACTATATTGTAAATACAAGTCTTTGCAATGCAATACTTCATTATATCACCCAATCAGGTAATGAAAAATATTTCTAGAATTTGGAGACAGACTTGATTGTTGGCTATTTTTTCAAACTAAGATTATCACATATACAGATAAATGCTGTTAAGAATAAGAAGGTTCTAATTTAACAGAACCCATGAATAGATAGTTTTATGCCATAACATAAAAATGAGTTAATGTTCTACATAATCTCTCGATCTTGATTTAAAAAAATCCATTTTCATCCAACTTTATTTAACCGTAATCTTCTCTTAATTGTTTAAAACAATCTAGAATAGACAATAGGAAGTCGCAGCTGAAATGTTCAGCATTCAAGAGCAATAGCAATAGAAAGGTCAGTCTTTTCTTTCACATCTAACAAATCCTAGTACCACAAATTAAGGGAAATGCACCTTAAAAAAAACCTCACTGAAAACCAGGACAGATACAAACACAGTTGGATAGGTCAACTTGGAAGGTCTCTGAACTGGAGTCTGCATCAGCATTACTTGTAATATTCTTCAGATTCTTTTCACACTAATTAATTGATTAAAAAAAAACATGGTTTTTGTTTTAAATCTGGTTTTGAATGTTTTTACTTGGTTTTTCCTACCAGTTTGTGATAAACACTGGAAAATATACTAAAAAGAACGTTTATTGTTGATGTAAGTTGTCTATCTTGTGGAGGAACATAATTTTGCACTACTATTTCTTGAAGTGTTTTGAAGCTTTACAACTCCGAAGAAAAAAGTAATTATAGAAACTCTCCATAGTCATCAAAGCATTTTTGTTTTAAACCATAATTCCATCAAAAATATTCTAGCTTTTCAGTCCAGGTATGTTTCACATTCCTCCAGAAACTACAAAGGTAGCTTTCTGCACCTCAAAAGATCTTCTTCTAGCTCTAGCATGGATTAAGAGAATAATTTAACAACTGTTTGAAAGCCAGTCCACAGAAGGTTTGACAGTTACATTAAAGATTTGAAAATTATGTGGAAACAGCCCCAATAAGTAGTTTGTCTATAGACTGACCATTAATTTAGATTTCCAAGAAAACTGCAGCTTCATCTTTGCCATAACTTCACAATCATTCATAACCATTTAACACATCGTTGTTCTTATACTAGCCTCTGGATGTTACAAAGAAACAAAACATTCTTTTCTTGGGGCATGAATAAGCTGCAACTGCAAATTAGGAATCACAGTAGAAAACAAAGATCAGATTTCATCATTTATATTCAGGCTACTGCTGAGGGATACCATGGTGGGAGCCAAAGGAGGATAAAGCTCAGTACCAACCCATATAGCTAAAAGCTTTCCTAATATATTCATGTTAAAGATATAAAAATATCTATCTACATATATGTATATATAAAGGTTCTCTATATAGAGCTTAGAAAGTCTTGGCATTTCGTTATGGTGTGGTGAAGCTGTTTTGAGAGAATGCTTCTACTGATCACTTTAATCTCAGGCAAGGTATTTTTGCTGAAGGGAGGACCTGGTATATGATGCACTTCTCATGAGCAGTGGATTAATAAAATGTAACCCCATTAGCGCGTATAGGTTTCCAATCAACTTCAGGGTGAGTCTGAAGGTGTTACTTCTGATCCTGAAAGTAGGCTCTGAAAGCTAACTGCTCTAGAAACAGACAAATTATGTCCTGAACCTGAAAAGTTGTTTCATGCTCCAGTACTATACTGGGGTAATTTATATTCACTGTGTCCTTTGACTGTGGTGTCTTCTCCTGTACCAGACTCTCTGTTGCAAAGGTGAACACAGCTCATACAAACCCCATGATTGTTCTTGAATCACAGTACACTGGAATAGTACACTAATATGGAAACTGCAAAAATTCTGTTTCTGACACATTAAAACATAATGGAATTGCAAGTCATCTTTAAAACTGGAATGCAGTCTTATACAACAAAGTCTGAATTTGTGAACCTATAGGAAATTCTGTCATCTCTTCCGTTTTCCTGAGGTTTCTTCAAGTAGTTTTGGAAAAAGTTTTTCAGAAATAAAAGGTTTTATTATGAGTGCTTCAGAAGGGTTCATCTTGCAGATACTTAGAAAAAGCTTTTCTTTTCACAAAAAAACAAAATTCAAAACCCAAACACATCTAGAACCTGAAAGACACTTATAATGCACAGGCACAATAAACACAAATGCTTAACATATAAACAGTAAATTATGCTCTCTCATTTATATCTTCATATTCTAATGAGTTAACTCATTCTAGATGTTTTGATGTGACAGAATAGATTTCTTAGAGCTTATTTCTAAAGACAAAATTGATGCTTATCCAAGTTCATGAAACATTAAAATTTAAATCTGACTTGTATACTGCACAAGCTTACACAAGCCAAATAAAATTACAATTGTTGGGTTGAGGACCCCTTAGTGAGTCATCTAGTCCATTCCCTTGTATTGTGACAGGATTGATTTCATTAACAGCTTTGATAGATGAGTGTCAAATCTAGGTTTGAAATTTCCATTGAAGGTGATTCCATAACCTTCCCTGGCAGTTTGTTTTATACTTAATATTCCTGAAACTGTTTGGCATTTCAACTCAACATCATCTCTGCAATTACAGCTTAAGCCTATTACCCGTATCTATGCTCTTACAGTCAGGTAGGAAAATCTACTCCTTCACATTTTCGTAGTGTCACTTGCAAGCTTGCATGTGATAGTTATTCCTGTCCCTTTTTCACTTTTGTATAAAAGAGCACACCAGCTCTGTTCCTTAACTGTACAGACAAATATTTTTAGAAGCTTAATATGCCTTCTAATTTCTTAAATTTGTTTAAGGTTTACAAAATCTTGACCTGATACAGCTTCAGGAGAGATCATAGTTCCTGGTAAAACCAGAAAATTCACATAAAATTAGTACAATGCTCATCCATTACAAAAGACAGTATTTCACTTTGCTATCGTCTCATCACATAAGGAATCCAAGATTTAAGAAGTCATTGTTTACTACTGCATTAAAAGAATGGATGCTCTAAACACTAATCTTTGTTTCAATGGCACTCATGTAAAAGAAACATACTGTAGGCTAAAAGGAAAAAACAAAAATAACTTCCTAACTAATTAATTCTTAAAATAACTTTAAATACAGGGAGTGTGAAAGAGTACTTGCATTGATTGGGAGGCAGGGGGCAAAAATTCAGCAGAAACTGCATAGAAAAGTAAATGAGCGAATCCTCTAGCAGTTCTTTCATACATAAAGCATTCTGAAGCTAATATTTCTTATGCTTCCTCCTAAGTCTCATAAGGTCTAGATTATGGCTAATATCTCATGACACCAAAAGTAATACTGCAGCAGATATTAAAGCATTTTTTTCAGCTACTTATTCTATAAAATATTAATTGCAAGCCTGTGCATGTACTGTATATAAAGGGTATTAGGTAACTGAGTTCCTGTTCAGTTCTAAATCAATAAAAGATAACATGAACCGCATCAATCATTTTTTACTCTTCCTTTACTACCTAATACAAGGAATGTTGAGGCTTATTTTTTTTCTTAGGTAAACAGTCACTTACACCTTTAAAGTTAAGAATGGCTAGCCTCTACTACGGATTCTTACCTATGAAAGAGAGATTTTTTTCCAAAAGCATTTCTCGCAGCAAGACTTCATGCTCGTGCCCAATAGCGCTGAGAGCTTTAGGTTAAGAAATGGAAGATTACTTTGGAAAAGAAGCAGCTTCATAAAAACATCATAGGTAAAGTAATTCATCATAGAATTTATTGACCTTCATCTGCATTGCAGAAGTGATCAGTGATTTGAACTCTCAGTTTTAAAAATCCTTACAGGGATTTTCAGAATCACTTATCACTTTATGAAAATCAGACTGTATCAAGAGAACGCATTTCACAGAATTAAGACCCACTTGACCATATTTATTAAGCATAATTAAGGAAAATATTTCCATTTTTTCTTAATTCTCCTTCTAAATTTAAGAGAAAGTGTGATCTTAAAACATGCAGTTAAATACCTTTTAAGTTGCTCTTTACTGACTAGTGTATCAATTCTCTAGCAAAGGATGAAATAAACTGGGATTTTTTTTCTTTATATTCTGAAAATAATAGGCACTGCATCCATCTGAAACATCTTACTGTAAAAAACATCCTTTTAACTGATTTTTCAGAAGCATGAACTAATGACAGGGAAGGATTAAATAATATTTTATAGTGAAGTCCTTTTCACTTCACTGACAGCTGTTGATCCAACATGCTATTCTTAGTAGTATGTAAAAAAGTCACCAGATTAAATATTTTAATGTACCCTTCTTGAGGTCAAAGTTTTATTCTAGAAGTTTTGAAAAAAAAAAACCTTTGAAACATCATGGTAAAGGATCTTACATGGAATGCAGTGAAGTTCCAAATTCTGTTTAGAATAACTTCTGAAAACTTAAACTACAGATCACCTTACCATTACAGTTAAATATTTAATTTGTATGAACATTTCATGCTGAACATCAAAAAAAAAAAAAGTCTTTGTAATCCTTTCACATGTACATATAGTTCTTATCAACTGAAACTACATATTATGTTAAACTCTACTAGCAGTTTTAGAAGAACAGCAAAAAGGTAAGAAAAATACTGCAAACAGAATTTATAATGCACCATAAGCAGAAACACTTAGTCTATAATAATACCTGTTATTGATCTATGGCAATGACCATGGGGCAAAACTTGTAAATAACCTCGCAAGCCACTTTCTACTCATGCAATCTAGCAGCCTAGTTTCCCGTAAGCATCTGAACTATTACTGAAAAATAGCCTCTTGGCATTTACAAAGAGGTTGACTTCATACTTTAGTCCATGCATATACAATTAGATAGTTATATTTAAAATCAATATGCAATCCTTCAGAAGACATTATGCTTTTAAAACCTTAACTTTAAATTGATTTTTAACTATTTTATGCACCTCAAAATTAATATCTAATTCAGCAACATACTTGCAGTAATGCACTCACACAGCTTAGCATTAAACTTTTCTGTACCAAAATGGAATTGAAAAACTTCTCATTATTCTCATCAATGTCACTGCATATTCAATATCTGACTTGAGCCAGAATATGAAGAGGATATAAAAGTCTTTTCTAGACTGCAGGCAAGTTATTCTTAAAAACGGTTCATAATTCTCCATATGTGTCATTATTACTTTTAAACATGACATTTTCACAAGTCTACAGCCAATCTGTAGACTTCAGAAGTCTACAGATTGCTCATGCACGAAATAATAATCTTAAAATTCTGGGTATGAAAATTAGTGACCAACAACCCTCTAAAAAGTGCAACCTATTAATCCACTTTTAGAGAGCTTTGTTTAATCTTGAAAATAGTCTCAATGAATACTTAAAATTACAATTAAAAGCACAAAATACAAAGAAAATTAGACCTCTACCCTGCTGTTGTTAAAGTTAATGGGAGCAGGGCTGAGACTGTAGTAGACACCAGACAAGTATTACTGGTAGAAAGAACATATTTTTAAGTAGTGACAATCACATGTATCACAAGTACAAGAAGTACTGTTTTTCATGCATAACTAAACATCACATTAGCTTTCCTATCCTGCAACTTTACAGTGAAATCAAGATCTTCCCCAAAACTTCATGCAGAGATTTGTGCAAGGATTCTGCAGGACTTGGGAGGGAACTGCCTTACTAATCTGTTAAGTGATAGCAGGCCATGATTTCAAAATTGTTCCTTTGACTGCAGACTGAAACAGAAGAGCTACTCCTTCAGTACTTTACTAAAGCAGATTTGGGGTCTCAGTGATCATTCCTAACAAATTATAACCCTAGTCTGTAATAGTCAGTGTTGAATTCCCTCAGCGTACTCACTGTGTACTGAGACTCTCTAATTAACCATTTCAACATTACAATAAAATATTCCTGAAAATTCAAGCTACATAGGGTTTTTACTGCAGCTAGTATAATTTCCTTCAAGAAAAAGAGAAAATAAAAGAAAAGCACTGGAATGTCAGATAGGAGCTTAAAAATACTAATCAGTCAATCAAACTTAAATTGCACTTGAAAACACTTCAATTAAAACTCATATTTATAACAAAGCAAAGCCATGATGTTGAACACTATCTATGAAACTTAACAAAATAGCTGAGATTGGAAGGTATCTCCAGAGATCATCTAGTCCAACTCCACCATTCAAAGCATGGTCAACTAGTCTTAACAAAAAACCAGACATGCATTTCAACTAATCAAAACCAAAGAGGTTCAATCAGGCATATGAATGTGTAGCCACCAAACTGACATCTTCCCGCGGTCCATCTGATTTTTGTTCGTATAAGAGAAAGCTCTGCAGCGACTCTCTAGCTGATTGAATGTAAAACAGAGGAGTATGAAACGTGTTTTGTGAAGCAGAACTTTATGTCAGGTTAAAGCTAGACACATCTCTTCCACACAGTCTAAGCTCGTCAATTGTGCACCTAAAATTTTATGGGAAAGGATACTGTTTGATGCAGTCCACCAGTGGTCCATAACAACAGTCATTCACAGTACACTGCAGACAAATAAGAGAAGTAGTATACTGATGGGCAACTACAAAACCATTATACTTAAAGAGTATCTTAAAAACAGTAATTACTTTTCCTCAAAAAGGCTATCAGATGCTGTTCAGATTTAATCACAGAAAACAAAAACTGTATGCTTTTACTCACTATAAAAGCAAGCTATTAAAAAGTTAAATGCTCCCCTCACAAATATTGCATTGCCATTTATGGTGCACCCTGACCTCACTGATAGTTTACGATGACAGTAATTAAATGAGGTTTAAAATCTCTTACTCTGCTAGGCAGATAACAGCATTGCCAAAGGAAAAAAAAAAACACAAACAAAACAAAACAAGACAAGTGTGATTAATACCTGATAGACTTGAGTTGCTAGAACTCCATCTGGAATCTGAGAAGGGTCCCGTAGCATACTATTTATTAGAGTTTTGGAGG